GACTTCTCGGACAGCCGATCACTCCTGCAGAGTTCGAACAGTTTAGAAGTGAGTGAACACTACTTTGCAATTTCTTGCAGTCAGTATATAAACAGCAAGAGTGATGACCAGCTAATTTTTCATTACCATGTTCCTAAAAGGACGGGTTGACAAGTAATGAGAATTGAGCAAACATCAGCGCAATTAACGTCAAAGTACTTGTAATAGTTTTACCTTCAAGAATAACTCATCAAGGGCTATTCTTTAAAGGAGTTGCGTCACGGTTTACGCTTAGTGAAAAGTTTAGCCTAAATTTTTCAAGTTCTTCGTTTGTAATCCGTGTTAATCTTCTCCATCCTTAACCATCCTTGTTCCTTTATAGTTTAATATTAACTCTTTGGTGTTTTTCAGTGTTTAAGTTAACTGTTCTTTTCAGGTTTCCTTCAATTAAAAGATGCTTTTGTACCTGGCCAAATGACTCAAAATACCGCGATCTTTAAAACATATATAAAATTACAGATAAGCCTGTGTAGTTGCAGTAAATTGGTGTTGTTGTTAATAGATAATACAACACACGTACACTGAATTTGTGGGAAGCCTATAGTATGTTCCGTATATAATCCACAATTTCAAATCTTTCTAGCTTGTGTTAATTTTGTATAGTTCCGGTCTAATGTGCGGCAGTCAGTCTCACGAAAAGTATTTCGAGCTTGATTTTTTTTTATTGTTTCACAGATGAAACGTTGCAGATTTTAGTGCAAATTGAAAATCAGCTACTTGTTCCCACTCCTACCCAGCCGAGCAACTTGCAAATGGCGAAGAGAGCGATACCGAACATGGCAAATCTACAGGATGTGGTAAAAATGCTGGAGAATATTAAGCAAAGATTGCTGGGTTAAGATCTTACTTCAAGCCTGTGATTTCAAGATCTCAAAAGATACTTTTTCCTCATATACAAGAGTAATAACTGACATTTTCATGGGCGCAGTCGAAACTCTAAATACCGTAGATGGCCACTTAATTAAGACACTCTAGAGGGCCTAAATCCCATTTAGAAACTTTAAAAGCTTAATGGCTTCAAGTCTTCTAATTTTCTGTCAGAAGTTGAGATTCTTAAGGAGATGCCTTATGTAAAATTCACAGGAAAACTTGTTCCGACTAAACAGGTCAAACTAGTTTAGCAGCCAGGGACTGATTCCTCCTAACAGTTACAACCAAGCTAGAGGCAAAGTTTCCCGTTGTAAGGCATGAAAGACCCACTTTATACACGGAGGAAAAACTCTTTTACCAGACTGTCTTAACGCGACGAACTGAACGTTAGTGTATGTATCTCTGTATCTATAACTGTTCAAAAGGAAATAGGTTTTGCAGTTCTATTGTCCAATCAGAGAGCGCGTGGTATCTCCCAGTTATTTTATATCGCTCTATATCATACATCTATCATTTACCTCATTGATATAGTTAAACATTTACAACTCATGTTATTTCAAAATAAATATTTAACGAAACGTTGTAGTGCTTCACAGCCCTGGCCTTGAGAAGAGACTTACGTCGTAAGTCGAAATATTGGCCTAAATAAACCAGCCCTTTTGCAGTAGTTCTAGCCTTACATTGTTTTGATTTTAAAACCAATTTAGTTGATATTAGGTACCACGTGTGCAGTCAAACAATTTGTGGATACGACTTATATAGTGCAACCTGTAAGTGCTCCAGGATGAAGGCAGGAAATAAAGTGTGGGTGTAATTGGCTGATCTTTAGTTTCCGTTGCTATATTTCTACACGTTGCGTCGTAAATAAGTCAAAAACTGAACTGAAAACAGTTTAATGGATTTGTGCTCCCTCTTATCAATCGACTTTGATGCCTTGTTACCACATTAAAACTGAAGCGAACGCGAAAAACACGAATAATCTCGTACTAACCGAGCACGAGGGGGATATTAGGGAATATTGGGGAATATTGACCCTAGGACGTGACAATACGAACCTCGCTGCGTTCGACCCGTACTGTCACGACAGAGGGCCAATAATCGTCAGTGCGGCTCGAGCAAGTTAGGTTAGTAAGTTGTTTATTATATGGCACAATACAGAAAAAATACGCGGCTTATGAAACGGTCCGTATGGCAAAATCCTGACCAAGAAAGAACTAATCACAACGCTCGCATTTTTCTCAAGATTACCTCGCAGTATAATAAGACAGCGTATTACACTTTAGTATACCGGTTTGACCAGTGTACAACAGAGCGAAAACAAGTTGATATGTAAGCGCAGAGGAAAAGAATTACACCGGACGTCGAAGAATGTTCGAAACTATTGGCAGAGGAATGAGTCAGACTCCGAGAGTGAGGTATTTACTGGAAAACCTCAAACCGAGACCAGGCCGTATTGCCCAAGCGACAGCGAAGTCAATATGGCAAGGTCGAGGTTTGAGATTTTCCCGTAAAGACCGAACCTTCGAGGTTGATAAATTGTTTATTATATGGCTTTTTGCTCTGTCTTTGCAGGCCTGTAATCGGCCCGTGGGCATTACTGTCATGCCCTTCAGTCAGCCAATCAGAGCGCGCGTTAGAACGGCTAAAAACACAAGCCATATAATAATACGCGTAGATCAATATTCTTGCTCCCTGTGCGCATTTCTCTTCGCCCAATTAGGACCTAAAACAACACGCCAACCCGTAAAATATCGATCCAAGAGCCTGAGAAAAATATCGATCGCAGGTGTATGTATATATTTGCGCGTTCTCTTTTCAGTTCTTATATAATATACTAATTACTGAAATCTAATTCGTTATTAGCCAATCAGAAGTCTCGTCCACTCACCTGACTTCCCGATATAAAAACACCTGATATCGCCGGATTTCTTTTGACGAATTTGGATCCAGTACTCGCTCTGTCTCTCCATGTGTAGTTTGACTCGGCTCCTCCACGTCACAACACTAATCATGGCTGGACCAAGCGCGATTGATATTCTATTAAAGCGTGCCAAAAAGGGAACAATATTAATAGGCCGATAGATAGCTTCATAGTTGAACTAATAGTAATACTTAAGATAAGTAATGAATCGTCGATTTAAA